TATATTTTTTTGATGAAGATCTATGTGAACCTCATAATTTTAATCAAAAGAATAAAAATACATAATTTATAAATTCATCCCCTTCTTTTTTTCATTAATGATCAAGGTGAAAGATCGTATTATTCCAGCTTTCATATTAACGTTAAAAAAAATAAATCTTCTTCAATAACTCTCATAAAAGGAAGAACTTATTTTAAAAAAAGGAAAGAATAAATATACATAAATAAATAACAAGATTATTTCACTTGTACCTGATGACATAAATTACTCTGAACCCAACGTGATGAAATTTCCAGGCCAAAATTCCGCTGCTATACATCCTCTATTTTTTTTACTAATATCTTGATAATATATTTTCATATCTTCTGTATTTCCGAAATAAAACACGACATCTTTAAGTCGACGATGCGTTTGTAATTTCTCTAAATGCTGTCGTCGTGCATCTTCCCCCGGATATATGGTTAATAATTCAAGATTTTTGAATTTTAACAGTGCACGGAATAATGACTTCATTATCATTATTATTATTAAAAATAAAAAGGTCAGACACCGTTATATTAAATCATAAGCAAAAGTTTCTTTCAGATTAATTAATTGACTTACCATTGGATTTGATTCTTGATGATAAGTATGAAGCTCGAGAATTTTTAATTTTGGGCATCTCTTTGCCAACCTTTCGAATAAATAACTGTCGAATCTATACTTATCATATGATTCCGTCTCTGTTATGCAAGTATTTCTATCATGGAATTTTAAAACTTCAAGGGTTCCCCTATTACGATTAGCCAAGGTGAAAAGAAAAGCTGCTGTCATCTGCCAATTATATCTCCTGCTGCAAAATTCGGTCTTAACCGTCACCAAATTTTTACAATCCCTAGCAATCTTAACTAAAGAATGTTGCGTTAGACTTTCACAATGCACCAAATGTAATTCTTGTAACCTTGGGCAATGATCGGCGATCGCTGTAAGTCCATCGTCTGTCAAATCTTTGACATGATAAAATTGCAATTTCTTTAATCCGACATTCCTATTACGAGCAAGTGCTTCAAAAGCTGCATCAGTAAATCCGCTACACCACCATAAAGTAATGGCCTCCAAACTTGTACAATTTTGAGTGATTGGAATAAAACTTTCATCACTAAGTCCTTCTCCAAATGATAGATGTAATTCACGAAGCTTTGTCTGATTCTGAGACCATGATGACATGAAATGTGGAAAGTTATTTTTTCCAAAAATTCTCAAATTAAAAGTCTCCAACTGAGGAAATATGTGCGCAATAGAAACTGCCATATCATCATTCAATTCCATCGCGAATGTGAAATCAAAATATCGTAACTTTCGACATCCGGACAATAAAATCCTCAACCCTTCATAATTAACACTACGACAAGTTAGTTCTTCAACATTAGGAAATGAATTGACAATAATTTGTGCCATCTTCGATCCTCTAATTTCCCAACGAGTCTTGAGCCTATTGATCCTTGGACAACACTCGCCAATTCGTTGAAGAATCCAATCACATCTCTCAGTATCACCATTTCCTGGAATCTCTAAAGATGTTAACTTGGGACAAAATCCTTCAGCGATCGGTTTTAAAGTCGTATCTAAAGCAGGTTGCCAAGATGCTTCAGTTTTAAAAGTAACCAATTCCGGCAAGACTCTTAAGAACATCGCTACGTTTCCAGGTTCAAAAGTACCATGAAGGCAATAAAACTCAATATGTTTGACGTTAGTACAATGACTAGCAATATATTTGAGTTCGAGAACGTTGTATTTGTCTCTCCCGCATCGAGCATGAGGACAAAATTTTAACCTTTGAATCATTTTTCCATAATCAAACATATTATTTGTTGATTTCAGAGTTTTCAACCAACTTTTGTATGATTCATAAGATTTCCATTCCGGTTCTTTCCATAAAATTCTTACGATTGTCTACGAATTAAATTAAAATTTTTTTTAAAAAAAATTAATTATTATTAAATATATATATAATAAATGATTGGCACGTGAACGACATCTGATTTGTCAATAATAAAATAATTCGAAAAATCTAGGATTTTTGGCAAACGACTTCATTATCACATAGTGTCTCAATTTAACGATTAATTTCAGAAGCTGTCCTTTGAACCTTCAGATCTTACGAGAACGGGTAAAAATCAAAAGTGGCTTAGTCATCCTTACCATCGACCATATTGAATTAATCAAAAGACAAGCAAATAAATCATCTTGATGTTCAAAGTCTGAAAAAATCAAGTGCAATAATTCTCCTGTTTGTAGCACGGACTGTGCTGCCTTAGTTTTATTAAGCCTTCGAAAGTTGTATGACATTACTTTATTTTAAGTTCGTTCCCCCAAATTTTGTTTTTGTTGAATAAACAATTTATAGATTTAAGGCGAAATAAGAAAAAAAAAATCCACCTAAAGAGTTTATTTGGTCAAAGAGTGTACAACTTTATAGACATTTTTGGTGTGTGTAACTAGATGATTAACAGACGTTCCTAATTTTAGAAGCTTTTAACAAAAATTTGAAAGATGCAAATTGATAACCGGTGATACATAATCACATGATTTAACGCCACGATCCGGGAGAAAAATTCATTGGTTAATATGACAACATCGAAAATTGCATGATTTTAATAATCACTTGATCTAATCCAATTGTTAACCGTTAACGTTATTAAAAAAAACAAAATATTCTTTTACTTCTTTTGTCAGCTACTTTTCGTAGAAGTGCAGTTTCTTGTAGATTTGAGACGATGATGTAAAATTTTATAAGAATGGCAACAATAATCGGAAAATCATGTGTTGATCATATGAATTTGACATAAAAATTTCCTAAACCGTTCAATTCTAAAATTATAAATCAGTATATTAAATTAAATAATTTGTTATATACTATAACGATAATATTTTAATGTAATATTAATTAATTAAAAAAAAATTATTAAAAAAAAAAATTTCAAATTATTTAAAATATTTAATTTATTATTCCTTTAAACTATAAGGATTTTTATCTATACCATATTCAAATATTAAAATTTAGTAATATATGTAATTTAGATATTTTATAAAGTTTTTATAATATAAAATAAATAAACATATTATATTTTAATTTTTATAATTATCAAAAAAAAATTTAAATTTTTAATCTTAAACTATTACAAAAAATTATTAATTAATAATTTAATTTAAACTTAATTAAATGAGTTTTAATATATCTAAATTTCTTTAAATTTAAAAAAAAAAT